CTATAGACAACACTCATCGGGGTCTTCTTCGAACTGCTATGTAAACACACCTGTGTGTTTTTATTCGCCTGCTGTGCCGCAACCAGAAAGAGTCAGAGCCTCTGAGGTCACGGTCTGAGCGTCTTTCTCATGATTCTTTGTTGTGTAACATTTATATTTTTAATGCAATTAAAATGTCTGCACCTCCACTGAAAGCCTATTTCACCAAAGCTTTGGCACAGAAGGTTTATATAAACATTGAAAAAGTAATTCATGTAAATCAAGTGATTTAATCAGCCTTCTGAAGAGAAGTGACCGATTACATGAATTACAATTTAGGTTTTTATTCAAATTTAAACACTGATCAATGCACATACTGTAGAGCACATCAAATATGGTAATCAAGCTGCTTGCTTGATGCATGAGTCAATGATTTTTTTTTTTTTTGCATGCATCAAGCAAGTTCGGTTGAGCTTCTGTTTACCATGTTTGCCGCGTTCTATGTATGTGCGTTGATTAAGGACTTCGATTAAACCGTTTGATTCATGTGGACTACTTTTTCAATGTTTTATGAACTGTTTGAAGTATCAATGTTTTGGTGGAATGGAGGGACAGATTTCATTTCATTCATGTTTCAAAGATGAACTAAAAGTTTTAAGGACTATGGAACGACATGAGGGTGAGTAATTGATGACATTTTTCAGTTTTGGCTGAAATAACCCTTTAATGTGTCTAGTATCACATCTCGGACTGGCTCTCTCATTTCATACTAACGCAACTGCCACCATCTTGCTAGTTTATATTGTATGACTGTAGTGAAAAAATGATCTTGGAGGACTTTAATAATAATATTACGGCAAAGACCAAAGTTCACAGCAAAGTTTTCTTAGGGGTAAAAAGATGCTCAAAATATCCAAGCAACGATATATTGTAAGCAAACATCCCGATGCCTCCCATGCTTAAATGATACAGGTATGTGATGCACGTTTTTTTTTTTTTTTGGCAAGTAGCTGCATAAGATGCATAGTCAAACAGTCATTATTGCAAAATAAATACTTGCATGAATCCAGATGCGTGTGTAAATGAGCGCATTTTAAAGAAGCAAGTAAAATACACCAGATAGGGGTAGTCTGCTGTATCCTGTGCGAATTACATTCAACAGATTTTGTGGGCATGTCTGTGCTGTTACCTTATTTGCATAATTACTATAGTAACTCAGCCGTGTACAAATAAGCAGGCACAATTCATTCTGATGTCTGAAAGAAACGCAGACTAATGAGCATGCGTTTTAAAGCGAGTTCATGGTAATAAGGTTGGAGAGGGCCAGACTAAACAAATGTGACGCCTTGCTAAGACCTGTTTACACAAGTTACCTTAACTTCAATGGTGAAAAACGTTTTAACATTGTTAAAAATTACATGTAATTTTACAGTAAAATACTGTCAAATCTATGGGCTTTACAAATAAATATGAAAAATCATTTTAAAAATTACATTCCCAAAAACCCCTGCATAACATATGACTATGATTTTATATAATGTTGTTTCTTCTCATTTTTGTTATCAGTAATGTACATCAGAGTGTTTTGTGTCTGTTATTTAGTTAATATTTTTTGCATTATTTTAGTGTCTATCCTAGGATCTGATAGTGTTTTGTCTTTGTGTGTCATGTGACCCTGTGCACTATATGAATATTAGCCATGATTTATAGACAGGCTACTTACATAGAACTGATTCATTATGTTGTTTTCTTTTGTACCACCTGTAAACCTCTGATTTGTGTTTCCTTGATATTTTCATAAAGCATCTTCATAATTGAAAAACGTGAAGATACCTAGAAATTTTTATTTTATTTTTATTAATGTTTTAAACAAAATCAAGTATACAGAAATGCAGGCGATAAAACAAAGTGAAACATAGCCTTGCTTTTTTCTTAACAAACTACACAAAATAGCCTTCTTATCAATGTTCAGAGGAGCTCAGAACTAAGGCTACGTTTACACGACAACGATGTAGTCAAAAACGATTATATAAACATTGAAAAAGTAATTCATGTAAATCAAGTGATTTAATCAGCCTTCTGAAGAGAAGTGACCGATTACATGAATTACAATTTAGGTTTTTATTCAAATTTAAACACTGATCAATGCACATACTGTAGAGCACATCAAATATGGTAAACAAGCTGCTTGCTTGATGCATGAGTCAATTATTATTTTTTTTTTGCATGCATCAAGCAAGTTCGGTTGAGCTTCTGTTTACCATGTTTGCCGCGCTCTATGTATGTGCGTTGATTAAGGACTTCGATTAAACCGTTTGATTCATGTGGACTACTTTTTCAATGTTTTATGAACTGTTTGAAGTATCAATGTTTTGGTGGAATGGAGGGACAGATTTCATTCCATTCATGTTTCAAAGATGAACTAAAAGTTTTAAGGACTATGGAATGACATGAGGGTGAGTAATTGATGACATTTTTCAGTTTTGGCTGAAATAACCCTTTAATGTGTCTAGTATCACATCTCGGACTGGCTCTCTACGTTTTCAGTCCCCAAAACGCCGTTGTCATGTAAACAAACAGGCAAAACGCATAAAAAGTTTCAAGTTTTTGGCTGAAAACGCTGTCGTGTAAACGGCCCCTAAATCCTACTGGGGCCTCTTTTACATACAAGACGGTGGTGGAGCCCAGGGCCCCGCAACTGAACTGCTGTCTGCTCACACTACAAGTGCCCGAATCAAATCTGACCCTGAAAAGAAAATACATGAATCTAAAGCCAGTAGCTGATGTCTAGTGGAAAAATGGTATTAGATCCGAAGCAGAAATGGTTAGCAAATCTACTGAGATGTTATGATTTATGTGTACTGGCCTCATATAAATAACAAGCGTGAAGCAGTAGCCAGTTGTAGCCGAGAGCAACTACTGTACTATCCTAGACCATAGTCAACATCTCAGATTCAAATATGCAAGCAGATACAAACTGCTAAGGTGTGGTTTCTTGTCTAGAACTTCAACAAAATACCTCAAAGGGAGTTTCCATTTCCAAGGCCAAAGAAAAACCCATTTGCTCAATAACTGTCTGTCTGGGAACCAATAAAACCCCGTCTTAATCAGTTCCTCTTAGCTACATAGTACACCAATAGCTTGAAAAGCAGACATCCTTATTTGAGGTGCTAACAGACATCCAAGTTGCAATCAGTATTTCTAAACCCATTTTGCATTATTATGCAAATGTCGGCATTTAAAAGGAGGAGTTTTCTCGAAAAATAATTTTTCTATCATCATTTATTCACCATTATGTAGCTTCAAAAGAAAGTATGACTTTCTTTTGTGAAACACAAAAAAGAGAGACTCTGAAGTAGGGGTGTTGCAACGACATATGTGATATTTTTCGTTTCAAAATTTCTATAGATATTATGATACTAAGGTTAACATGAATCATAACATTGCATTTGGTTATCATGCCATTTTTCTTTTCAACATTTCTATAGTTATTGAAATAATATTGTTAAAGTGAATCATAGCATTGGATTTTGTTATCATGGCGTTTTTTCTTTTAAAAATGTCTATAGATATCGCAATATTATTACTGTTATTCAGAGCATACGTCTCATTCAGAGACTTAGTTATCATGGCTTTTTCAGATATCGTTATGATACTGTTAATGTGAATCATAGAATTGGACTTAGTTATCATGCTTTTTTACATTTTTAATAGATATTGTAATCGTATTGTTAACGTGTATAGTGTGGGTTTAGTTATCATCATGTTTTCTGTTTATTAATTTTTTTCTATGGATATTACAAGTATGTTGTTAACGTGAATTAACTTGACTTTATGGCATTTTTCTTTTCTTTTTTCTTATAAATAATATCGACTGTAAAGCTCCAAAATGATTAAAAAAAAGCACCATAAATGTAGTCCATATTGACGTTTTATGCTTCGTTTCAAGTCTTTTGAATCCATTATACCTTTGTGAGATACCATAATAGAACAGACACAAAATTTGAGTGGCTATTTGTGAGAAATTCATTTTTTTCTATGGATATTACAAGTATGTTGTTAACGTGAATTAACTTGACTTTATGGCATTTTTCTTTTCTTTTTTCTTATAAATAATATCGACTGTAAAGCTCCAAAATGATAAAAAAAAGCACCATAAATGTAGTCCATATTGACGTTTTATGCTTCGTTTCAAGTCTTTTGAATCCATTATACCTTTGTGAGATACCATAATAGAACAGACACAAAATTTGAGTGGCTATTTGTGAGAAATTCACAAAAAGCTTTCACTTGATTTCAAGATTCTCACTTGTGCACATTCAAACAAGGCATCTCAAAGATATTCAAGTTACTGGTTCTCCTGTGTTTTGCGACAAATCGAGATGTATTTGAATGTTCATTTAAACACATGCATGAATGGCTTTCATTTTGTTTTATGAGGTTTTTACTAGGGATGTACCGAAATGAATATTCTGGGCCGAAACTGAAAATTCTGGATTTTTTTGTTTAATTATCCAAATAGTGTATAGTCCTACTAAGCTATTATTATCAGAGCATGTGAGCAAAGCATAGCGTCACAAGAGGGTAGCGTCATTTTACTAGTGTTACCCAGTACAACTGTACTACATCAAGTTACAGCACAGTAGCGCTACTGCAAACAGGAACAATGCATGCATGTTATTTGAGCAGACTTTGCTTTTTTAAACTCAACAGAATGCACATTCAGCGTCACACCGCACAGTGACGACGGCTAGAGGCAGAGTGAAACCTGCACACTAAACACCGCTGGGTGCCATATATTTTCACCCATTTTTCTCTTTCGCCAAAAACAGAAAATGCCATTTTAGGCCCAATGATTTTCAGTGGCCGAAATTTCGGTAAATCTCTAGTTTTTACTTGACACCCTCCACTTTCATTGTATTAAAAAGGGCAGCGTGAACTTTCTAATAAACATCTGACTCTGTGTTCATACAAACGAATGAAAGTCACATGAATTTGGAACAACATGGTGTTGAGTAAAAGATGACAATGTTTTAATTTCTGGGTGAACCATCGCTTTAAGTGTCAGATAAGACCAAGAATTGAGAAGCAAAGGCAGAAAGAAGAGACAAACAGGGTGAGACTGTATAAGGGCCATTCTTTCCCCACACAATCCCAAGAGATGGAAAAACAGAGATTGTGTGCATGGGTAAGAGAGTAAGTGAGTGGGAGAAAGAGTTATCGGTAACCCCACCTTGCCGAGTGGAACAGTGGGATGTAAAGCAAGAGGTGTCTGGGGGTAAAGTTACAGGCCAGGAACATGTGCCTGTTAGATAACACAAGAACAGAGCCTGTATCTCTTTCCTCAAAGCTTTGCCCCAAAACAAGACCCTTTCCCACTGTATACCTGGACGTGTGCCAGAGGATCCATGCACTAATCCAAATATAGAGTGACAGAAGACACGGGTCACTGCACAGCCATGGAATCAGAGATGTCGTGGGATTCGCAGAAGGCCCAGACAGGTTTGTAGAGTGAGAGGATTGCGGTTTCAGCCCCCTGGTTAGCGTAATACCATCTTCTCCAAGGTCAATGATGTAGTTCCAAAGAACCTACAACAGCTGCTTGTGTGGAAGGTCATATCTGATGCTCATTTGTCCCACATACCATCTCGGAATGGCTCGGAGCGATGGCTTCCATTAGCGAGATCAGAGAACAGCTCATCAGGGAGGGATGAAACAGAAGAGCCTCTTGACGGGAATTTCTGATCTAAATTTATACTTTTACACAAAAATCACTTTAGACTCCAGCACACGATGGAAGGCTGTTCTTACCATCTGCCTGATTCCAGTGAGGACAGTGAACCTTCTCGCCCACATGTGCGGTGATCTGGTTCGTTTAAACCACCTGAGGGAGACAGAAGGGAAACAGCTGTACTTGAGTTCAGTCCAGTTTGAAGGGATCACTCAAAGATGAGAATAAACAGCCTGCTGTCACTATGCGAGTTCAGCGGACACTGAATTTATCATCACAATAATTAACAACGGTTGACATCACTCATTACATAATGGTATATACTGGGGCCATGTGACTAAAGAACAGGCAAACAAACTCTAGTCAGCATCTGTTGCTGCAGAATGAATTGTTCCTGAAGTAAAAACTTTCATTTCTCCATAGGGAAATAGATTTTTAACAATAACTGATAAACCTTTAAAAACAGACCTGTTGTGAGCTCTGAGGTTGTTAAACAATTGTACATGTTTTTGTCGAACCCATATTTTCGCATTAATTTAACATAATCGTGTCTAATAGCATAATTCATGATAAAAACTACATTACCCATGATGCAGTACAGAAAATTCACCAATCAGAGCGTTGATATTTAGCTCCGCCCACTCCCACGAAACACCGCGAATGATGTAATCGATTCGGTCTCCTTTATTCTCTCAAAATATTCCATATTTGTATATTTTGCAAAGACATTAACATATATTGTTTCTATAAATACAACCAGCACCTTTTAAATAATAGTTTTTTTTTTATAATTTAATAATTTGTTTTTGTGAAATGTGTGACTTTTAGAAGCTTTTCTGATAGGGCTCTTCCAGAAATATGCACAAGGGCCAGGCAAAGGACTGTTGCTTACAACATGATCTATTTAAACTATATTATGGTGTTAATTAAAACACAGCAGTATGTCATTCACAGTACTTAAGCTTGCACTGAAAAAGACAAAAAGATAGAGTGAAGATGGTTGTATCTAGGTCGATGTTCTGATCTGATTAAACACTTGCACTGGGGTATCGAACACAGCTCATACTCAAAAACACACAAATAAAAACAATCTGCCAAAACCTAAAACATTTCAACATTCCTTTATAAAGCTTGGGAGAACAAACTTAATAACCTAATTATGGTTTGGCTCCAGGTGCTAAACTGTAGGTTTTATTTTGGAAACTTAATGGGTTGACCTATTTTACGGTTATGCGCTTTTATGTGTGTGAGGGGGGCTATAACATAGTTACCTACCTCTAGGAGTTATCTAGCATGTGGTTTCATGTTGAGGCCCATTTCTACTGCTGTGGAAAGCTGTATTAAAACTCACTTGTGGCCACTGGCAGTGTCAAGCAGACATTTACTGCACTGATTTAAAACACAAAAGCTATCTTTAAAATGAGCATGGCTGGAGGGGGACCACAGGCAAACTGCAGATCAGATGAGTTTGGGGTTTCAGCCTGGGATGTCCTCTGAGAACAGTCAAGTACTTATTTTGAAATAAGGGAATGCCCAGTATTTTGTTGTAGCACACTTATATTTAAACTTGATCCCAGTGTCAACAAAGCACAGAAAGCGTAAATAAAATTATCATACTAATTTGCCATAAGTAACTATAAACATGATCTGCAACCCATTTTAAACTATTTTTTGTCGATACAACAGAGTCCACACTAAAGTCTGAAAATCAGGAATTCAAAATTAAATTTGAGGAATACTGTAAATAAGGTATATTGCTGTCATTAAAGCAAAAGGGAGGCATGCAAAATACTAAAAAAAAAGCCTAGTTAATTGCTTTTATTTTGCCTTTTCAGCAGATTATATCATAATTTATTAATTATTTAATAAAACTACTGATTATGCATTTTGTTTTAAGCAATTAACAAATGTACATAGATGTTTCAGTATTCTATGTTTCTCTATAATAATAATATTAATAATTTAAATATTTAAAATATTATTTTCTGGAAATATGAAGCAATAGAAAAACAAATAATTATTCTCTATAATAATAATATTTTTGAAATTATAATTTGCTGAAAGCATTTATTAAATAAAAACAAAAATAAATTATTATTTTCTGGAAATATGAAACAGAATAGAAAAACTAATAATTATACTCAATTATAATAATAACACTTTAAAATTATAATTTGCTGAAAATATTTATTAAATAAAAACAAAAATAAATAGAAATGCAAAAGCAATTAACAAATTATGTTATCTTTTTATGTTTCTCTGTAACAACAACAACAGCAGTAGTAATAGTAGTAGTAGTAGTAGTAGTAATAATAATAATTTAAATGTGTAATTATTTGTTGGAAAAAATTTATTAAACAGAAACAAAAAATAAATAGAAATAGAACCTGAATTTCTTTGTTATTTTATATGTTCCTCTATATAATAATCATTAAAAATTAAAGGGTTAGTTCACCCAAAAATTCTGTCATTAATTACTCACCCTTGTGTTGTTCCAAACCTGTAAGACCTATGTTCATCTTTGGAACACAATTTAAGATATTTTTGATGAAATATGAGGGCTCTCTGACCCAAATCTGACCCTGATCCAAAGTGACGCAGTAGAGATGAAAATGTGGAATAAAGTCGTTATTTTCTTTGCGCAAAAAAAGTATTCTCGTAGCTTCATAACTTTACAGTTGAATCACTGATGTCACACGGACTACTTTGTCGATCATCTTGGTACTTTTCTGGACCTTGAACGTGGTAGTTACCTTGCTGTCTATAGGAGGGTCAGAGAGCCCTCGGATTTCATCAAAAATATCTTAAATTGTGTTCCAAAGATGAACATAGGTCTTACAGGTTTGGAACAACACAAGGGTGAGTAATTAATGACAGAATTTTCATTTTGGGTGAACTAACCCTTTAAATGATTAAAATGTAATTTGCTCAAAATATGTATTAAATTTAATTTAAGATATTTTTGATGAAATATGAGGGCTCTCTGACCCAAATCTGACCCTGATCCAAAGTGACGCAGTAGAGATGAAAATGTGGAATAAAGTCGTTATTTTCTTTGCGCAAAAAAAGTATTCTCGTAGCTTCATAACTTTACAGTTGAATCACTGATGTCACACGGACTACTTTGTCGATCATCTTGGTACTTTTCTGGACCTTGAACGTGGTAGTTACCTTGCTGTCTATAGGAGGGTCAGAGAGCCCTCGGATTTCATCAAAAATATCTTAAATTGTGTTCCGAAGATGAACGAAGGTCTCACGGGTTTCGATCAACACGAGGGTGGGTAATTAATGACAGAATTTTCATTTTGGGCGAACTAACCCTTTAAATGATTAAAATGTAATTTGCTCAAAATATGTATTAAATTAAAAAAAAAAATTGGACCCCACTGAATGTATTCATTTGTACTAGTGGATAAAAGGAGTACAGATCAAAACCTGATCCAGGATCATCCCTCTAGCTCTTATACTCTTCATAAGCAGGAAGCGGAAAACAATATTCCGGTGCAATCCTACCTTTCCTCTTCAAGATAAACGTGCTGGTGATGCAGGAGGTGAGTAAAGGCATCACATGTGTATCTTCGAAGATCTTAAACTAGTGAGGAAATTCCCAAGATCAGATAACATGGAAAAGCAGAAGGCTTTCTGTGAATGGGCCTAGAGCAGGGATCCTCAAATCTGGCCCACAAGATCCACTTTCCTGCAGAGTTTAGCTCTAACCCTAATCAAACACACCTGAGCATGCTAATCAATGTCTTCAGGATCATTAGAAAATCACAGGTAGCTGAGTTTGATCAGGGTTGGAGCTAAACTCTGCAGCGCATTGAACCTCCAGGGCAAGATTTGAGGAACCCTGGCCTAGAGTGTTTTTCTAAATCATCTGTGCTTTCTGGGCTCTCTCACGCCCTCTGGTGTTTTACATATAGAGGTTTATAGATAATTTTACATATAGAGAAACAGCACTGAAGCGCATAACCATAACTGTGTAGCGACACTTTGTGGTTGAATGTATGTACTACAAGTACAAATGCACACATCCATGTAAAGGATCTTACTGGGATGCAGAACTCCTGCGAGAGGTACTTCAGTCCGGCAGCTTCCAAGATCAGATAACATGGAAAAGCAGAAGGCTTTCTGTGAATGGGCCTAGAGCAGGGATCCTCAAATCTGGCCCACGAGATCCACTTTCCTGCAGAGTTTAGCTCTAACCCTAATCAAACACACCTGAGCATGCTAATCAATGTCTTCAGGATCATTAGAAAATCACAGACAGGTGAGTTTGATCAGGGTTGGAGCTAAACTCTGCAGCGCATTGAACCTCCAGGGCAAGATTTGAGGAACCCTGGCCTAGAGTGTTTTTCTAAATCATCTGTGCTTTCTGGGCTCTCTCACGCCCTCTGGTGTTTTACATATAGAGGTTTATAGATAATTTTACATTTAGAGAAACAGCACTGAAGCGCATAACCATAACTGTGTAGCGACACTTTGTGGTTGAATGTATGTACTACAAGTACAAATGCACACATCCATGTATAGAGTCTTACTGGGATGCAGAACTCCTGCGAGAGGTACTTCAGTCCGGCAGCTTCCTGGCCCAGTAAGTTACTCCTGAACATTAGATTTCCCGGCAGCGACATGTCAAACACCAGAGCCAGCCGAATCCAAAATAAGTAGCCCCGCTCGACACACAATTATGTCCTCCTCCAGATGCTCCAGCCTGTGCAACATCAATAAAACGCCCCACTAATGTGTGATCACAAGCTTAAATACAGCCTGGCATAACACGAGACACTGTTCATTTATGCAATAATGCTATAGCCAAAGCCATTTTGAATTCAAGATTTCTATTCATTACATTTAAATATTTAGCAGACATGTAATCCAAAAGTGTACATATATGTATTTAGCAGATGTTTTTTTTAATCCAAAGCCACTTTAATTATATTCAAGGTATACACTTCCAGTAACAAGTTTGGAATAATTTTGAATACATTTTTTAATTCTGTTTTTATTCAGTTTTTCTGAAAGAAGACTCTCATGCTTACCAAAGCTCCATCCATATTATCAAATAATACAATAAAAGCAGTTACATTGTATATTATTATTACCATTTTAAATAATTGTTTTATTTGAATGTAGTTTCAATTGTAATTTATTCCTCTGATCAAAGCTGAATTCTCAGCATCATTACTCCAGTCTTCAGTGTCACATGATCCTTCAGAAATCATTCTAACATGATGATTTTGTGCTCAAGAAACATTTATTTTCATTATCAAAATAAAACGCCCCACTAATGTGTGATCACAAGCTTAAATACAGCCTGGCATAACACGAGACACTGTTCATTTATGCAATAATGCTATAGCCAAAGCCATTTTAAATTCAAGATTTCTATTCATTGCATTTTCGTTACATTTAAATATTTAGCAGACATGTAATCCAAAAGTGTACATATATGTATTTAGCAGATGTTTTTTTTATCCAAAGCCACTTTAATTATATTCAAGGTATACACTTCCAGTAACAAGTTTGGAATAATTTTGAATACATTTTTTAATTCTGTTTTTATTCAGTTTTTCTGAAAGAAGACTCTCATGCTTACCAAAGCTCCATCCATATTATCAAATAATACAATAAAAGCAGTTACATTGTATATTATTATTACCATTTTAAATAATTGTTTTATTTGAATGTAGTTTCAATTGTAATTTATTCCTCTGATCAAAGCTGAATTCTCAGCATCATTACTCCAGTCTTCAGTGTCACATGATCCTTCACAAATCATTCTAACATGATGATTTTGTGCTCAAGAAACATTTATTTTCATTATCAATGTCGACATTGTTGTGCTACTTTAATACTATTGTGAAAACATAACGACCATTCAAAAAAAAAACATTTCAACAAGGATCAATTAAATTGTTCAAAAGTGACAGTAAAAAAATATTTCAATTAAATTCTATTCTTTTGAATTTTCTATTCATCAAAGAACTCAACAGACTAATCACAGCTTCCACAAAATGTTCTTATTGGTTATTAATCATAGAGCACCAATAATAATTGATAATAATTGAGCAGAAATTCAGCATATTAAAACGAGATCAAAGGCAGATATCGCGTTATTCTCACTCACATGCTGTGTTGCTAATAAACATGATATAATTTCAGTTCTGTTGCTTTTATATGAAAATAAATATGATGAACAAGACACTCAAAGTACTTGCTATTTCATTTCATTTCACACTTTTCTAACCGGCATGCATCTCGCGGTGATCAATTGTGCGCAGAATTTGCTCATCTCAAACAAGCCTAATGGCATTTTTGACAGCGAACCTAACGACGCCGAAGCTAAAGGCGTAGTGATACGTTCACAACCTGATTGGTCGGCTTGAATCATGCCGGAACTTACTGAACGGCCCAAACAAAAGGTGCTTAAAGACTTAAAGCAGCGCTGCGGGTGTATGATATCAAAGCATCCATTAACCGATCGGTCTGCTCTGCGCCGCTTTAAGTCGAACACACCTAATGCCGACTACTGGACTAAGCGCGCTCGTTCATATCATTTTATTTTCACCACCTGCAAACTCACAAGGCGCTCATAAAAGGCACTTTACCTCATCGTTGCTCCACCTTTGCCCTCTACTCATTTTGTTTTGGTTAGACCGCGTCGTCAAATCATGTCGCAAAGCGTCACATCTTGTCATTATTTCCTGGGCGCCGCAGCATAAATGGCTGCCCACTGCTCTGGGTTTTGTGTGTGTTCACTGATGTGTGTGTGCACTTTGGATGGGATAAATGCAGAGCACTAATTCCGAGTATGGGTCACCATACTTGGCCACATGTCACGTCACTTCACTTAAGTGAAATGATTAAATTCCATAATTCTAGACGTTCTTCAGGTTTTACACTTCGCAAGGTAAAAGTCCCATTCCAGCGGATAAATATCACGTTATTGGGGTCGCTTCACCCCGCGGACATGAAAAACATCCCTCGGTAATGATTGTACACATGAAACAGAGAGCTTTAGGATTACGTTTTTCCATGGAAAAAAACGTTGGGTTTTGAAATTGCGACGAAACAAACGAAAATGTATATATTTTTTAACCTACAACATTCATTTTATTTATTTTTTGCTTAAAGAGCATTTTTTGCTTAAATTAATGACACACCTTAATTGTATTGCATTTTTACAATATTATTATTTATTATTTACAGTGCAAGACAGAGAACATGCAACAATGTACCACTAAACATAAAAAATAAAAACCGCGGACGCATGAACAATGTAAATACTAAAAAGGACAGCCTGAGAAAAGTACATTTTCTGGCATTGATGATTGCAAGTTGTTGTTGTTCTTACTAATTAATAGAGAGAGAGATTATTTTATTTAGTTGCAACATTTCTCATTTTTGTTTGGTTTTACTTTAAGTAGGCTACTAAAATATCTAAAACCAAATAAAATGACATTAATATATAAAAATGTATAATAATACAATTAAACAAAAGTAAAAGACTAAGTCTTTAACTAAAATTACAGTGAATACAGAATTTTTTTTTTTTAAATATTACCAAATATTATATCAATTATACTTTTTATTTATTTATTTATTTGTGTTTATTTTTTTGCATTTGAAACTTCACTAACTTCACAACTTTCACAAAACATTGAAGAAATAAACAAGGGGGGTACATTTTCAAAAGCATCTTTTTCTTGGTCACTCTTTATGAAAAAATGACAAATAATGATTTGATAATTGATCATGACACTGAAAGAAATTATATTTGTTAATTGATAGGGGATGCCATGGCCGTAATGATGATTGCATTAGTTGTGTTTGTAAAGGAGGTTATGTTTAAACCTAGCTGAAAATAAATATTATTAATCATATTTAACATAATTATTGTTTATTTTGGCTTGATTAAATGCTTTCCTCTGAACCTCTTAATGTTTTGATAACCTTTGCGATCCTCCCAAGTTATTTTGTCATGCCTCGCTGTCAACTCTGCCCTCCTGACGTCAATATAATGGAATCTAATCTTTTTATAATTTCCTCATTTTAATAATCAGAATAATCTTGGGAATTTTCTTGAAAAGAGACTTAATTTACACCTGCAGTGTAAAGGAGACGAAAGGTGTGACGGGATTCAACACATTTCTGGAAGGAAGAGACATCATCACATAAGAAATGTCAAAAATGAAAGATCTAAAATGAAAAAGTTTAGGTTTTTAAAAGCGTGTGGGAATAAAAAGCTCAAACATTCATGTTTTTGCTTAAAAAAAAAACAAAAACAGCAAGGCAATGAAGATCACAAATTTAAATGAAAACCATATCTCACAATATTTTAGCATGATAAATGTGTGGGGGCCAAAGTCCCCGTCCTCAAAAATAGTTTAGAGTCATTATGGCTTTTGAAAATAAATATGCTTTTTTTAGAGTGCGTAATGGGGAGGCCAAATCAGATGACCAAGTCTCTGAGGACATATGAGATTTAGAGATCATTGTGACAAAATCAGCACCAGAAACATATTTATCATCTAAAATCAAATATTGATTTTGACCTCAGATGACCTCTTTAAATGGAAAGTCATAACAGCGTATGCTATTTCTATGGTATAGAGAAACTCGCTGACCTGTCTTCAGGCTCACAGACTGTA